AATATCTCTTTGGATTTGAGATTTTAGTCTTTGCAACTTTACAGATCTTCTTTATGCACCAAGAGCTTGTAACACTCCAAAGAGAAAGGAAAACTTGAAATCGCATCATATCTCATCGTCATATCTCGGTCACATATCTCCTCTGTATCTCCTCCCCAGCGACTTAAGACTGCTTTTGTGCTCCAGGGTCACATATCTCCTCTGTATCTCCCGTGCATGTGTGTTTGTACCTGTTGGATCTGCTGGATTTCTCTCATGGCCAGTCGTATGGAGGGGTAGAGTCGGGGGAACGGTCTGCTCTCTCTGGTCGGATCGTCGTCCTTGTGCTCCATCTGAGCGGGTTCGACTCGTCTGCGGCGGTCAGAGATGCGCTTGAGCACCGGCGGTTTGTGGGACTCTGGGTTTGTGTTTCCTCTCGGCGGCAGGAAGAGTCTCTGCATCTCTAAGTGCACTTTATGTGAACCCGTGTCCATGTCCTGATCCTCAGCGGGACGCTCCACCGCAGACGACGACGACGATGATGTAAAAGCTTTGAGCTCCTCATAGTCCGGCTCCTGATCACACATCTGCACACACACACACACAAACCAGCGTTATTCTCTCTCTACACTGAACACACAGCTGTGAGTGGAGTGCAGGACACTCACCTGACCGCAGGGCAGCGTCAGCAGCTCCATAAAGGGCATGATGCCCACCTGAGTGTGATACTGGACCAGATCTGTGAGAGAGGAATGAGCCCGATCCTCCCCGAGAATCACATACTTCCCATTGCTCTGCATCTCCACCATATAGTGACGACAGCGATCAGCACCCCTGACATAGAGCACAAACCAACCCCAGCAGACGTGTTTACAATCAATCAGTAAACAAAAATACATATATACATTATAAATAAATAAATAAATAAATACAATTCATTCAACATCAACAACATAATTAAACAAATTACTGAACAAGAATTATAATAATTAAACATCAAAAATACTAATTATAATTGTGGATTTTAGTTTGAGCATATTACTATTATTAATATTATTATTATTATTAATAATGAAAATAATAATTATTATTTATAACATAAGCATATAATAGTTATTTAAATGTATTCATATGTATTTATTATTAATAGAAATAATATTATTTAAAATATTTTTACATTATATTACAATATGTATTTGTTATTATTATGAATATAAATAATATTATTTAAAATATTTTACATTATAGTATCATCATATTATTATTTTATTTATATAAAATTAATGTTATTACTGATAACAATACTAATAATAAATAAGACAATAACAATAATTATTTATAAAATAAGCATATATTAGTTATTTAAATGTATTCATATGTATTTATTATTAATAGAAATAATATTATTTAAAATATTTTTACATTATATTACAATCACATTATTATTTTATTTATATAAAATTAATATTATTACTGATAACAATACTAATAATAAATAA